TTTTTTTTTTTTTTGAGGCGGAGTTTCGCTCTTGTTACCCAGGCTGGAGTGCAATGGAGCAATCTCGGCTCACCGCAACCTCCGCCTCCTGGGTTCAGGCAATTCTCCTGCCTCAGCCTCCTGAGTAGCTGGGATTACAGGCATGCGCCACCATGCCCAGCTGATTTTTTGTATTTTTAGCAGAGACGGGGTTTCACCATGTTGACCAGTATGGTCTCGATCTCTTGACCTCGTGATCCACCCGCCTCAGCCTCCCCAAGTGCTGGGATTACAGGCGTGAGCCACCGCGCCCGGCCGTCTAGGGTCACTATTATACAACCCCCTACACTGCTAAATTTGCCTTTAAAAAAAAAAAAAAAAAAAAAAAAAGGATATTTGCCCCAAACAGTCTAGTGGTGTCACTGACATTACCAACCAGAATAAGCATGAGGGAGGTGGAGGAGAGGAGGAATAGGAGGAGGAGGATGGCAGCTGCTTACCCTGTGCCAGGCCAGGTTAATCTACTTATGCACTTAATCTGATTTGGTCCTCATAACACTAGGAGATAGGTGCCAGTATTATCTCCATTCTAGAGTCCAGGAAACTGGCTTAGACAGATTTTCCCAAAGTCTATAGTGAGTAAGTGGTGGAGCTAGGGCTGTCTCAAGCAGTTCAGCTCGAGCCCATCCTGTTTACCATTTCACCATCCCGAGCACCAATTCCCTCCCAGGCAAGATGTGACCACTTTATATAAGCCGGCAGCCTGTTTAATCCTCACAATTCTGCATCTTAGGGATTCTTCCATTTAGCCATGAGGAAATTGCAATTCAGAGAGGATAAATTGCCTGAGGTTAATCCTAATCAATGGCATAGATGGGATTCAAATCTAGGTCTGAATCTAGATCTAGTTGGCTCTCAAATGGAATTATTTCCCATCACTCACCGGAAGTGTTTTCAGATGGTACCTTATGTGCTGAAGGAAAGATAAACTATCTCACAGTTTTTGCGTGTCTGAACCTATAGGATTTGTCTTGGGCAAGATGTTGGAACAATCAGGATTTTATCAGTTGTCTTCTGAGGCTGTCCAGTGAGATACAATTTTCCCTGAATCTCTCAGGATTCCTTTCCAATGGCTTTTTTTTTTTTTTGAGAGACAGGGTCTTGCTCTGTCGCCCAGGTGCAGCACTATCATGGCTCACTGCAGCCTCAACCTCCTGGGCTCAGGTGATCCTCCCCCCTCAGCCTCCTGAGTAGCAGGACTTCAGGTATGTGCCATCATGACCATGTAATTTTCAAAAAAAATTTAAAAATCTTATTATTTTTAAATTTGCTTGTTTTGGTAGAGTTGAGGTCTCACTATATTGCTCAGGCTGGGCTCAGATCTTCCTATCTGAGCCCTCCCAGTGTTGGGATTACAGGTGACCTACTGTGCCTGGCACCATTACAATTTTTTTTTTTTTTTTTTTCCAGACGGAGTCCCACTGTCATCCAGGCTGGAGTACACTGGCACAATCTTGGCTCACTGCAACCTCGACTTCCTGGGCTCAAGCGATTCTCCTGCCTCAGCCACCTGAGTAGCTGGGACTATAGGCTCCCGCCACCACACCTGGCTAATTTTTGTATTTTTTTGTAGAGATGGGGTTCTGCCATGTTGGCCAGGCTGCTCTCAAACTCCTGGCCTCAAGTCATCTGCCCCCTCAAACTCGCATGAGCCACCACGGCTGGCCTCCAGTGGTTTTTAAAATGTCTTTTTCTTATATATTTCATTTTTTAAGGAGATGACGTCTTGCTATATTGCTAGGCTTGAATGTAGTGGCTATTGACAGGTGTGATGTAGCTTCAAATTCCTAGCCTCAAGCGATCCTCCTGTTTCAGTTTCCCAAATAGCTGGGACTAAGCCATCTTACCCTCCAAATCAAATTAGTAACTAAATCCTATGAATTTCGATGTATTTTATTTTTTGAGACGGAGTCTTGCTCTGTCACCCAGGCTGGAGTGCAGTGGTGCGATCTGGGCTTACTGCAACCTCTGCCCTCCCAGCTCAAGCAATTCTCCTGCCTCAGCCTCCCGAGTAACTGGGACTACAGGTGCCCACCACCACATCCGGCTAATTTTTTTTTTTTTTTTTTTTTTTTGAGACAGAGTTTCACTCTTGTTACCCAGGCTGGAGTGCAATGGCGCAGCTCACCGCAACCTCCGCCTCCTGGGTTCAGGCAATTCTCCTGCCTCAGCCTCCTGAGTAGCTGGGATTACAGGCACGCACCACCATGCCCAGCTAATGTTTTGTATTTTTAGTAGAGACAGGGTTTCACCATGTTGACCAGAATGGTCTCGATCTCTTGACCTCGTGATCCACCCGCCTCGGCCTCTCAAAGTGCTGGGATTACAGGCTTGAGCCACTGCGCCCGGCCTAATTTTTGTATTTTTAGTAGAGACAGGGAGGGTTTCACCACGTTGGCCAGGCTGGTCTCAAACTCCTGACCTCAGGTGATCTGTCCACCTCGGCCTCAAGTGCTGGGATTACAGGCATTGAGCCACTGTGCCTGGCCAGGATGCTTATTAAGAAAGTGTCTCCAACCTGAGATTGTAATTTTGGTCTGGAGTGGAGACATGTGATCTATAGATCTTATTTTGAGCAACAGCTCTAACAACTTTTTCTTGAAAAGTCCTTCACTTTTCTTAAAATCCATTGTTGGCTGTTTATGCAATAATGTGAACTTTCACTCCTTTCCTTCCTTACTACCCTACCTGCAACATAAATTCCTGACTCCCCCAACCTTCACGCACCCCCTGGGCTGTTCCTTGTGTCTTCTTCTCCAAGTAGCTAGGCAAAATCCTATTCATATTTTATCCATCCTTCAAGGTTATTCCAGAATTCTCCCAGACAGAATTAATCTCTTCTTTCTCTGGGCTCTCTCAGCAATCCAATCTGTACTTACCTTTATTACAGAACATATCTTAGTTTGGACGTAAGTAGTTCCCAGAGTTGCAGCATCACCAAAACTAGGCACTTGTTAGAAACCAAATTCTCAGGCTGCACCCCAGAACAACTGAATCAAAAACTCTGGGGATGGGACCCAGCAATCTGTATTTTAACAATCTCTGCTGGGCATGGTGGCTCATGCCTGTAATCCCTACATTTTGGGAGGCTGAGGTGGGTGGATCACGAGGTCAGGAGATTGAGACCATCCTGGCTAACATGGTGAAACCCCATCTCTCTACTAAAAATACCTAAATAAATAAATAAATAAAATAAAAAATTGCTGGGCATGGTGACATGCACCTGTAGTCCCAGATAGGAAGCTGAGGCAGGAAAATCTTGAACTCCAGATGTGGAGGTTGTAGCGAGCCTGGATTGTGCCATTGTACTCCAGCCTAGCAACAGAGCGAGACTCTGTTTTTTTTTTTTCCTTTTAAACAATCTCCCCAAATCAAATACCCAACTGGATGGTATCTCCTTTGCTAGACTGTGTTTGTTGAGGGCACAGGGTAGGTTTTACTTATCTCTTTCCTTAGATCTAGCCTGGAGCAAATAGTTGGTAAGTGATCAATAGTGAATGAATGATGGGAGAGCACCTTAGATATTTTTAACAATTCTTTGCAGATCATACTTGTACAACAGACCCTACCCTTTCACTGCATACATATCCACGGTTCTTTTCCCTTCCATTCTTGCATAACCTTGGATCTGGGTTGACTGGCTTGCCTTTCCTCCCTTGTCCTGTCTCACCTAAGCCAAGGACAGAGCTCTGTTCTCAGAAGTGGCAGATGATATCAGAGATTAGCAGATATCCGAGTGCAGGGATGCTGATGGGATTGCTGGGATTGTCTCGGTTGATACACACATTTAGGTTTCGAGAAGAACTTGGCCATGAAAGCCATGGCTGCCTGCCTGTCTCCCTGCAGCCTGGTCCTTTGGCAGCTGAAATTTCTGGCAGTTGTGTGGAAAAATACCTTCTCTTCCCCAAAGTGAGGGTAGGAGCGAGGGGGGTGGATAAAGGAGAAAGAGGAACAAAAGATCTAGAAACCACGATACAATGAGGTAACAGACTATGGGCTTTGGATTCAGGAAAGTTGACTCCAAATCTCAGGTCTTCCATCATCATGTAAACTGTAACAAAATATTTAACCTCTCTGCAGTTCAGTTTCCTTAGCTGTAAAGTAGGGATAATACTGTCCCACCTTGTAAGCAGTAAGAATTAAATTAGAATGAGACAAACGAAAATGCTTCATGTAATGCTAGAACAAAGCCTCAATGCGAATTTGGTTTTGTATTTGAAAAAGACAATACTGGCTGATCGCTGGACTATGCCATATGGCCACACTAGTTACCACTCACCCTAAGTGATATCCAGACAAGTAGACTTAAAAGTGCCAATTCCAAGCAGGGTGTGGTGGCTCATATCTGTAATTTCAGCACTCTGGGAGGCTGGGGCAGGTGGATCATGAGGTCAGGAGATCGAGACCATCCTGGTTATCATGGTGAAACCCCATGTCTACTAAAAATACAAAAAATTTTAGCTGGGCATGGTGGCACGCGGCTGTAGTCCCAGCTACTCTGGAGGTTGAGGCAGGAGAATCACTTGAATCTGGGAGATGGAGGTTGCAGTGAGCCAAGATCGCACCACTACACTCCAGCCTGGGCGACAGAGTGAGAGTCTGTCTCAAAAAAAAAAAAAAAGGGCCAATCCTGGCAGGGCACGGTGGCTGATGCCTGTAATCCCAGCATTCTGGGAGACTGAGGCGGGTGGATCACCTGAGCTTGGGAGTTTGAGACCAGCCTAACCAACATGGAGAAACCCTGTCTCTACTAAAAATGCAAAATTAGCCAGGTGTGGTGGTGCATGCCTGTAATCCCAGCTACTAAGGCAGGAGAATCGCTTAAACCCAGGTGGCGGGAGGTTGCAGTGAGCCGAGATTGGGCGATTGCACGCCAGCCTGGGCAACAAGAGTGAAACTCCATCTCAAAAAAAAAAAAAAAAAAAAAAAAGGTGCTAATTCCAAAAGCAGCATGTGTGATGACATCTGTTGTGGGGAGGGATTGCAGGCCTGGGCAAGAGGAGATGGTCATGCCAAGGACACTTTTTAGAGCATTTTTTCAGGCAAAAAACCCCTACCACCACCACCACCATTACCAAAGCTGGGTTGATCCAAGGCAGGCAGAGGACAGAGGATGCAAGCAGCTTTCAAAAACATATTGATCTGGATCAGATGGGCTGATAATGCCAAAACACTTATAAACCAAAGCTGCAGGTCTCTAAGGTCTTCAGAGAAGCTACATAAAATACTATGATTTCATTAGCAACCACATATGTATCATTTTCCACAACATTTTACAATTATCTTATTTCACAGGGAAGGGGAACTAATTCTAATAAAATATCATTCAATGTATCTTAAATAAGTAACATGTTGCTGGAAAAAAAATTAAGTTAAAATGCACTACATAATAGTGCAGAAACAAAGTGCAGATGGCAATTTAAGACATGAACACAATGCTGAATCAGTAGTGTCTGGAGTGATACATTTTGCCCATCTTTGGCCAGTCCTAGAGCAGTACTCACCACAAGCTATAGGACAAATGTGACTAATGAGACTAAAATACTGAAGACCAAATAAAACCACTCTACAGCCTATTTCACAATGAAATGCTCCCCCCCCTGGTCTGGAAACAGTGATCTGCCGTAGCTCCTATCCTGCTGTGGTATCTATCCCTGCTGCAGGACCTATGGCCAGATCAGGTGTCCTCCATCATCCAGCCTCCACGACAAGTGGCGCTCAGTGAGTCCCAACCTGAGGTACAGCTGCTGGTTACCGATTTGTACTTGACTTGGGTGGCAAGGATTTTCTCGTTTATCTTGAATATATTTACTTCTAAAAAGACTGTGTTAGTCTTGCTGGGAGGTGAGCAGGGAAATGTGAGTTGCTATAGAACATAGTAACAAACACGGGTTCTTGCTCCTCATAAACAGAAAGCCCATTGTTGGTGCCATGAGAAGAGGCCTACCTTATCAGGAAGATCTCACTTCTTACATCTACAACAGAAAGGGCTCATATTAAAATCAACCTGTGGTTGCCTCCCTTAGAAGTGTTGTTTTTCAGATATTCCTAGTCTTAGAGGCAGCCATGGAATGTAATCTCCTCTGACCTTGGGGTCAGGAAGAAAGGGAAATCTATTCATAAAAGGAATTTAAATTCTGGCCTTGGCCTCTCAAACCTGCTTCAAGTGAAAGAAGATAGCTCAACCAACAGGAGCCTCGAGTTGATATCTTTTTTTTTTTGAGATGGAGTCTCCGTGTCACCCAGGTAGGAGTACAGTGGCATGATCTTGGCTCACTGCAACCTCCACCTCCCAGGCTCAAGGGATTCTCCTGCCTCAGCCTCCCAAGTAGCTGGGTAGGCGTGCGACACCACACCCGGCTAATTTTAGCATTTGTAGTAGAGAGAGGGTTTCACCATGTTGGCCAGGCTGGTCTTGAACTCCTGATCTCAGGTGATCTACTCATCTTGGCCTCCCAGTGCTGAGATTACAAGTGTGAGCCACCGTGCCCAACCTGATTCCTTTAATACAGGCTCAAGCACATGTGCCCTCACATATACTGGGGGAGAACCTTCTTAATAAGAGAGTCTCGAGCACATCTTTCCAAGATGCTACGTTGGTGGGGAAAACAGACTTTGCACTCACTTGGCTGACTGCCTGAGCGGGGTCTGGGAAAAATGCCTTTAACCCCACCTTTGATTCCTCCCTCCTATGCTAGAAGACTAACACATCTATCCCTAGTGAACAAGGAGCTGGACTGGGGTCAGGGCATTCTTATCAAAAGGCATCTTTGATGTTTTTGAGCTGGCGCACAGCCAGATCTACAGGGAGGCTAAACTTGAGGCTGCTGAGGCGACTGAGCAGGTTGAGGGCACTCTCGAAGCCTGTGTGTGCCATGTAGCTCCAAGGCTGATAGTGAGGCTCGATGAGTGACCCGGACTTGCAGATGAGGTTCACCCAGGACACCAGACGCTGCTCGTTCAGTGCCATGCACACCAAGGCCTTCAATTCTGAGTCTGCACTGCGCTTAAAGGGGTCGTGCTCTGTCAGCACCATGTGGATGGCTGTCAGTAGGCTCTGTTTGGGGGTCACAACAGTGCCTCCTGTAACAGGAAGGGCGAAGGACTGGGAGAGCTTCCGGGCTGGGGATTCCACATAAGCACGGCCGTTCTTGGCATGGTAGTACTTTACAAAGAGCTCCCAGGGATGCATGGCCTCAGGGGCTGAGGAGAAGGCTGGCAGCAAGCAAGCAATAGGAGCCATGACAAGGCTCATCCCTGGGGAGGAGGCATACAGTCCGTGGGCCAGGAGGTCCCTCATAGCCACCGTCAGCTCCTTCCGCACAGCCGTGGTCAGCTCATCCTTGCCTCCCAGAGAGAGGTCCTGGAGGTTGGCAGAGGTGATGACATGGTCGTGTGGCTGGTGCCTCAAAGCTAGCTGCTTCACTCTGTCCACTGACACCTCTAGCCTCTTCAGCAAGGGAGAGTAGTCTCTGTCAGCCTGGCCCCTCTGCCACAGGGTTGGAGGGATCTGGCCTGTGGCACAACCAAATTGGCTAACAGCAAAGATCTGGAGCACTGCCAGCGCTCGCCGCATCAGGTGCAGCCCTGTCTCCCGGACCTTCTTGACATCCTCTGCCTTTGCTGCTTAGAAAAGACAATAGGTCATCAGTGAGAGGCCATGATAGCACAGAGCTACACTCAGCAAATCACAGGCTGAGATCAGTCTTGCTTCTGAGCCACATTATGGGTCTCACATGAAGGCAAAAGCCACCCAGGATGTAGCTGGACTTCCTTTTTTTGGTTAATAATAGCTGTACTGAGATATAATTTACAGACCATATGACTGGCCCATTTAAGGTATTTAATTCAGTGGTTTTTAGTATATTCAGATTTGTGTAACTGTCACTGCAATCAATCTGAGAATATTTTATCATCCCCAAAAGCAACCCCATACCATCAGCATTTCTCATTCCCCACTTCTCCTCAACATACCGAAGCCCTAGGCAACCACTGATGTATTTTCCGTCTCTATAGATTTGCCTGTTCTGGAAACTGCACTTACTTTTGGGGTTTCCTGGAGGTGGTCTGCTGCTGCCTGTTCTGGTGCAGCCATTGCCTGCCTTCCCACCGGCCTTGCACTCACAGTGTCCACCCCCTGTCTGCAAGGGGCTTCCCACTTCATCTGGAATCAGAAATTATAGAAGAGACACTTATTAGCCCCTTTATCACAGATCATTAAGGGAAAAATATTTAATGGTGTCTATTACATGCAAGAATTTCACAAAATCTTGTCCTATTTAACTGTGTAAAATGATGACAGGCATACAGTAGTTGGCTCAATAAATATTCGCTAAGTGAATGAACCATGAATCATCTTTTTATGGACGAGAAGAGTTAAACTGAAGAGGCTGGTAACATGCTTAAGGACATAAAGCCAATGAGTAGCAGGGCGGGGATTTTAACTATCTGATTCTGAAACCCATGTTCTTTCTCCTCTGCCATGCTGCCTCCCCTACTAAGCAATCAAGCCTCTTAAATAGTACATCAATAATTGGCACCTTTTGGTGCCTGTAGTCTCAGCACTTTGAGAGGCTGAGGTGGGCGGATCACTTGAGGTCAGGAGTATGAGACCAGCCTGGCCAACATGCCAAAATCCCATCTCTAATGAAAATATAGGAGAGATCCAAGATGGCCGATTACTAGCAGCTCGGGATTGTAGCTCCCAGTGAAAGCGCAGAGAACGAGAGGACGCCATACTTTTCAGACGAATTTTTTTTGCTCACGGATCAGGAGATTCCCAGCAGAGGAGCCCCACGGGTTGCCAGCGCGACTCTTGTGGCCCGCGTGGCGGTTCCCGGTGCGGAGTGAACAGGACTAGTTCCCCTTTTGTCGATGTTTGGAGCTCCGGGAAGGCAGAGTCGCCCATTCAGCTGATTGAAAGGGGGACCCAGGACGGAAGCCAGATGGGAGATTCCTGGGCAGAAAAGCACCAGGAGTCTTGGCACCGCTGTTCTGGCCGGTGCAGTGGATTGCTCAGATTTCGGCGCTGGGAATCAACAAGTTGGACGTTCACTCAGAGACCTAATTTGAAAGTCGGTAATTACGACAACAGGTGGGTAAATTTACAATGACGGGAAGAAAACAGCGTAAAAAGGCTGAGAATACTCAAAATCAGAATGCTTCTCCCTCCACAGGGGATCACAGTTCCTCATCAACAAGGGAACAAGGCTTGATGGAGAATGAGTGCATTCCAATAACAGCATTAGGCTTCAGAAATTGGATAATAAGAAACTTCTGTGAGTTAAAGGAACATGTTCTAGCCCAACGTAAGGAAACTAAGAACCTTGAAAAAAGGTTTGACGAAATCCTAACGAGAATGGACAATTTAGAGAGGAATATAAGTGAATTAATGGAACTGAAGAATACAATAAGAGAACTTCGAGAAGTATGCACAGGTTTTAACACTCGAATTGATCAAGCAGAAGAAAGGATATCAGAGGTCGAAGACCAACTTAATGAAATGAAACGAGAAGGCAAGATTAGAGAAGAAAAAGTAAAAAGGAATGAAGAAAGTGTACAGGAAATATGGGACTATGTGAAAAGACCTAATTTACATTTGTTAGGTGTACCTGAATGTCATGAAGAGAATGAATCCAACCTGGAAAATATTTTTCAAGGTATTATTCAGGAAAACTTTCCTAATCTAGTAAGGCAGGACAATATTCAACTCCAGGCAATACAGAGAACACCATAAAGATAATCCTCAAGAAGAGCAACACCAAGACACAAATTGTTAGATTTACCAGGGTTGAAATAAAGGAGAAAATTCCAAGAGCAGCTAGAGAGAAAGGTCAGGTTACCCATAAAGGGAAATCTATCAGACTCACAGCAGATCTCTCAGCAGAGACCCTACAAGCTAGAAGAGAGTGGGGGTTAATATTCAATATCCTCAAAGAAAAGAATTTTCAACCCAGAATATCATATCCAGCCAAACTAAGTTTCATAAATGAAGGAAAAATAAAATTTTTCACGAACAAGCAAGCACTCAGAGATTTCATTACCAGCAGGCCTGCTTTACAGGAGCTTCTGAAAGACGCACTACACACAGAAAGGAACAACCAGTATCAGTCATCCCAAAAACTTACCAAAAGATAAACAGTATCTTTATAATGAAGAATCTATATCAACTGGATGGGCAAAATAGCCAGCTAGCATTAAATGACAATATTAAACTCACAAATGTCAATATTAATCCTAAATTTAAATGGATTAAATGCCCCAATCAAAGACATAGACACGCAAGTTGAATAAAAAGTCAAAACCCATTGGCATGCTGTGTCCAGATCCATCTCATAAGCAAGGACACACAAAGATTCTAAACAAAAGGTTGGAGGAAGGCTCACCAATCAAAGAGGAAAAAAAAAAACAGGACTTGTAACTTTCATCTCTGACAAAATAGACTTTAATAGTAACAAAGACTAAAAGAAACAAAGAAGGACATTACATAATGGTAAAAGGATCAAAGTAACAACAGGACTCGATCATAAATATATATACACCTAATATAGGAGCACGCAGATACATAAGACAAGCTCTTAATGACTTACAAAGAGACTTAGACTCCCACACAATAATAATTAGAGACTTCAACATTAACATTAGATCAATGAGACAGAAAATTAACAAGGATATCCAGGACTTGAACTCAGATCCAGAACAAGTAAACTTAATAAACATTTATAGAACTCTCCACTTTAGGCTGGGCGCGGTGGCTAACCCCTGTAATCCCAGCATTTTGGGAGGCCGAGGCGGGTGGATCACAAGGTCAAGAGATCGAGACCATCCTGGTCAACACGGTGAAACCCTGTCTCTACTAAAAATACAAAAAATCAGCTGGGCATGGTGGCGCATGCCTGTAATCCCAGCTACTCAGGAGGCTGAGGCAGGAGAATTGCCTGAACCCAGGAGGCGGAGGTTGCGGTGAGCCGAGATCCCCCCATTCACCCCCGCCGGGGAAAAAAGGGGAAACACCCCTCTCAAAAAAAAAAAAAAAAAAAAGAAAGAAAAAAAAGAACTCTCCACTTTAAATACACAAAATACACACTCCTATCAGTACCACATCATAGGTTTAAATGAAATATTGGTTGACTGCTTGTTTGTTATTTTCTTCCCTCATCATTTTTTTTTTTCCTGTTTCCATTATTAAGCATAAAAGAGGTTTTCAATACCCATTTTTAGACTGCATTCTACCTCAGGCAATAAAGCAACACTTCCGTTCTCTCTCCCTCTTTCTCTTTCTTCCTCTCCTTCATTTTTTTTTTTTTTATTATTCTTTTTTTTTTTCCTTTCTCCCTTTCTTTTTTTAAAAAAAGAAAATATAAACATTAGCCAGGCATGGTGGCAGACGCCTGTAATTCCAACTTCTTGGGAGGCTGAAGTTGGGAAGATCTGTTGAATCTGGGAGGCGGAGGTTGCAGTAGGCCAAGATCATGCCACTGCACTCCAGCCTAGGTGACAGAGCAAGACTTGGTCTCAAAAAAAAAAAAAAGAAAGAAAAAAGAATTGGCACCTTTTTACTAGTACTCAGAATAAATGTAATTATGATGGCTGGGCGTGATGGTTCACGCCTGTAATCCCAGTACTTTGGGAGGCTAAGGCAGGCGGATCATGAGGTCAGGGATTCGATACCAGACTGGCCAACATGGCAAAACCCTATCTCTACTAAACATACAAAAATTAGCTGGGCGTGGTGGTGCATGCCTGTAATTCCAGCTACTCAGGAGGCTGAGGCAGGAGAATTGCCTGAACCCAGGAGGCAGAGGTTGCAGTGAGCTGAGACCATGCCAATGCACTCCAGCCTTGGTGACAGAGCGAGACTCTGTCTCAAAAAAAAAAAAAAAAAAAATTATTATGACACTTGTCCACTCTTCTCATCCCATCCCCTCCTCTAACCTTGGATGAAGTTGATGAACATCTCGAGGTCTCGGATTTGAGTTTTCAGTTGCTCAACCAATTGTTCTTTGACCCGGGCTGGGTTCACGATCTGAGCCACCGCTGCATCTACACGTTGACGAAGCTCTTCAGTGGACAAGGAACTGATGTCTTCATTCAGATTCATGTCCAATTTCTTTATTAACTCATCTATGATCACCTATCAAGATCACAAGCAATGAGCACACCCTGTGAAATTTTTATGGAGAGGGTAGGGAGGAGAATCTAAATATGTCTTCTGCCCATAAATGGAAATAAAAAACAGACTGCTAAATTTGTGAAAGAAAATGACTTAACTGCTGATTGATCAACGTGAGGACACAGACTCTCTACTTCTAAAGTGAAAAGAACCCTCAGTTCTCTGATAAAAATGGCTCCTCCCACACACTGTAAATTTTCTACCAGGCCAGTCCGATTTCACTCAGGAGAATAGTATGAAAAGTCCAAAGTGGCTGATGATCCAACAAGCCTCATATGTAGTTGTTCTAAAGGCTTCAAGGAGAATATGTGCTGATTTTTCTTTTTCTTTAAGAAGACAGGGTCTTGCTCTGTCACCCAGGCCAGGGTCCAGTAGTGTGATCATAGCTCACTGTAACCTCAGACTCCTCTGCTTCAGCAATCCTCCTGCCTCAGTTTCCCTAACAGCTGGGACTATAGACACATGCTACCACCTGGTTAATTTTTAAATTTTTTGTAGAGATAGGGTCTCATTATGTTGCCCAGGCTGGTTCAAACTCCTGGCCTCAAGGGATCCTCTCACCTCAATCTCCCAAAGAATTGGGATTACAGGCATAAACCACTGCACCTGGCCTTATTTTTCCTAATTTCTAATCCTTCTTACCCCTTCTTGCCCTATTGTAGGCAACTAAAGAAAAATCTCTGTTGGGCATGGTGGCTCATGCCTGTAATCCCAGCACTTAGCGGGGCTGAGACAGGTGGATCATGAGGTCAGGAGCTCAAGACCAGCCTGACCGACATGGTGAAACCGCGTCTCTACTAAAGACACAAAAAAATTAGCCGAGTGTGCTGGTGTATGCCTGTAATCCCAGCTACTCGGGAGACTGAGGCAGGAAATCACTTGAACCCAGGAGGTGGAGGTTGCAGTGAGCCAACATCACGTCATTGCACTCCAGCCTGGGCAACAAAAGCAAAACTCTGTCTCAAAAAAAAAGAAAAGAATGCCGGGCGCGGTGGCTCAAGCCTGTAATCCCAGCACTGTGGGAGGCCGAGGCGGGTGGATCACGAGGCCAAGAGATCGAGACCATCCTGGTCAACATGGTGAAACCCCGCCTCTACTAAAAATACAAAAAATTAGCTGGGCATGGTGGCGCGTGGCTGTAATCCCAGCGACTCAGGAGGCTGGGGCAGGAGAATTGCCTGAACCCGGGAGGCGGAGGTTGCGGTGAGCCGAGATCGCGCCATTGCACTCCAGCCTGGGTAACAAGAGCGAAACTCCGTC